GCGGCACTGCTTGCAGCTTGGTCTAGTTCCTGTAGATTCTCACTTGCTAGGATCTTGATTATGTACTCCTCCTTATATATATCTTCCAAACTGGCCTCGTGGCTTCTCTTCCAATGGGCGGACTGGTAGTGCCGCCCTGGTTTGCTCTTGTCTTGTTTGTACTCTTGCTGACTGGTCTTCGTTCGGACCCTTGCCTCAGAGGTTGGACTAGTAGTGCCACCCTGAGCTGCATGTTTCTTGCTCAGCACTGCCCCTTATCTAGCCTAGAGGTTGTCAACTTTTACCTATATTTGTATGTAGAATTTATAGGCTAGATACGGTAGGTTTGTGTTCTTAGAGAGTACAACTCCAACCCTATATCTCCCCTGTACTCGCTTGTTTCTAGTCGTTCTCGTATTCTAACATCTGGCCCTTCCCCGAGGAACTTCTCAAGGGCAACCCCAACAGGTCTCTCGATACAAGGGTGCTGATCCATTCCTCCGTCCCCTATACAAACGCCCCTCTCCCTTGAGCCTTCCCTGATTCTGCCAGAACCAAGAAGCTACTGCCTTTGTTGAAGCCATTGACAGTGTTGTGATATGATTCATACTTAGCATTTCTGTAAGTCTATTATCGGTAGATAGTGTCGAATCCTACTGTAGGAGATAAGTCCGTAGGATGACGTCAGCAAATAACGCTCGTCATAAGGACAGTCGTTTCAGTCACGCGAACAGTCGCGTCTCTTCAATGTCATTCAGGGCGCATAGCGCGATAGTTTCAACAGGTACATTAGCGAACAGGTACTTCTATTAGATATAAAAGTAGCATGTCTTCATTGTTTAGTTAATGTGATTCAGGACTTGATTCTGAACCTGTTCTATAAAATATTATGGTCAACACTTAACAAGTTCTAAGACTTCCGCTGTCGTACTAGTCTACCATTCCAGTAAAGATCCTAGGCTAACACTTGAGGTTTTCCAAGTGTTCATGTTTGCAGATTCTATACTTAGTCTCCTGCAACACCAATCAAATTATTACAGACACAAGTACTGCCATCGCTGCAATCGATTATTGAACTTCCTGAAGCAAGTAGCAAAAACTTCGCTCCGTCAACTCGCTAGTAATTCTTAGAACTCAATAATGATAGAGTAGTGAGAGAGTACAAGAGAATATACCTAAGTGTTGTACCCTCTAAGAGATGACCCTATACAGTTTATACAAACATTAGAGATACACATGTTTGACACACCCCCTAGACTGCATAGGGGCAGGTCCTGAACAAGCAGCTCAAGGCGGCACTACTAGTCCAGCCACTGAGACAGGGGTCTAAAGACCAGTCAAATGAAGTACAGACAAGGCAAGAACAAGACCAGGGCGGCACTACTAGTCCAGCCACTGGGAGAGGACACAAGTCCAGTCTGAGTACATATAGATGTATAGGACTGTACAAAATCAAGGCCCTAGCAAGTGAGAGGCTACAGGAACTAGACCGAGCTGTACACAATGCCGCTGATGATCTTTAGGCGCAAGCGCCTTCGTAAAGATATCAGCTGTGTTGGCACCGGAGGCCAAGTGTACTACGCAAGCCTGGCGGCGCTGCTGTAGCTCGCGCAGGAGGAAGTACCGCAGCTGAATATGCTTCGCTCTGCCCTCGAGTCGAGGCTCCTGACACAGGAGGATCATGGCCCTGTTGTCAGCGAACAGGACCGGGGCAGAGCTAGGCCGCTCACCTAAGTCAGTGAGCAAGAAGGTCAGCCAGCGGAGCTCCTGTGCCGCCATGGCACCGGCGTAGATCTCGGCCTCACAGCTGGACTAGGCAACAGACGAGGAGCGGGTAGCTCTCCACGAGACGGCACCTGAACCAAGGCTGAAGCGGTAGCCCTAGGAAGACCTGAGTATCTCGGCGTCGTCTGCCCAAGAAGCGTCTGTGTGTCCAGTAAGGACCACTGGCCTGCGTCCTCCTAGCACTACCACATGCCCGATGTACTTGCAAGGTAACGCAAAACCCTCTTAGCGGCAGACCAGTTCTGCGGTCTGTGTCTGCCTGTGGCCACAAAGCGAGCCAGGATGCTGAGAGGGTATGCGAGATCTGGGCGAGTGCAAGTCATCAGGTACATGAGGCAACCCACCCGCTCAGCGTAAGGACCACTGGGCTCTACTGACTCCTCAGGAAGTGGAGCGGAGAGTCTGTGGTCTAGAGGCAGAGGGGTGGGCTGTGCTGAGGAGAACTGAAGGCCGAACCTCTGAAGGACCTGGCGCACCAAGTGTGACTGAGTCAAGGTGATGGTGCGCGCTGCTCTGTCCCTGGAGATCTGCAAGCCAAGGTAACGGCGCAGTTCTCTAAGGTTAGTGCAAGTGTGTCTCTTCAGCAGCTCTGCCTTCACGGAGGCCAGTGCGTCCCTGTCTGCTATGGCAAAGACCAGATCGTCCACGTACACAAGGATGTAGAATGGAGTCTGGCCAGCACGAACGAAGAGTGAGGGGTCTGCAGAGGACGGAAAGAACTGCAGGTCAGCAAGCGTAGCACGCAGCGTGTCCTGCCACTCACGGGGAGCCTGCCACAGACCGTAGACGGGACGCCGCAGGAGCCACTGGGTCCTAGGAGGGAAGGTGCCCGTAAAGCCCTGTGGGCGACGCAGGTAGACCTGCTCGTGTAGGCTGCCCTGAAGGAAGGCAGTGGAGAAGTCGAGGGAGTGAAGCTCGTAGTTACGCTGAGCTGCTAGGAGTAACAGAACCCGAAGAGTAGTCATCTTCGGGGTCGGAGCGAAGGTCTGGAAGAAGTCCACCCCCTCACGCTGACTGAAACCTCTAGCCACGTAGCGCGCCTTGAACACAGGCGGCTCCCTAGGAGGGCGCTTCACCTTGAAGAGCCAGCGACCATCGACTACGTTCACCCCAGGTAGGGGAACTGCGTCGACGTAGGTGCCGGTGGATCTCCAAGATGCCATCTCCTGCTCCATGGCAGCTATCCACTGGGAGGCCCAGGGTCCCGAGGTCGCCTCAGCGTAAGTGCGAGGGGTCGGGCTGTCGAAAGCGTCTGGGTCACCCTCAGGGACTAGCAGCATGGAACAGAGATGGGGAGCAGCCTCGGAGAGGAAAGCAAGCTCGAACTGGCGGTCCTCCTGGACGTCACTGCCGAGGGCAGGAGCACCCCCGACAGACGGAGGACAGGCAGAGTCAGAGACCAGAGCGGTGGCGTAGTCAAGGCGGCGGGTAGAGGCGAAGTCAGCGACCGCAGATACAAGGGCGTCAAGACTTGAAACCGGAACAGACGGGTCGGTAACGAGAGAGGCAAGGACCCGAGGAACTAGAGGACGAGCGGCACGCAGGTAGTCAGACAGAGGGGGGGGAGCAACGACAAGGGAAGACGGAGGGGGCGACGGGAGAAGGGGAGGACGAGACGCGTGGGAACGAAGCAACATAGGGTGAGAGCGCGAGAGAGGGGAGACAGGACGAGCACTGGAGGGGCGGCGAGACCAGACGTGAGACGGAGGAGTCGGGTCAGGAGACAGTGGAGGGGACACAAGGGGAGAGCGAGGGGGAAGACGAGCCGGGGACGAGTCCGGCGGAGGGAACACACGGCCGTAGACGGGAAGAGGAGGAGACGGCAGGAGAGGAACATACTGTACGCAAGGTCAGGGGACGGAGGGCCGAGCAGGCGAAGGGCTGACACTGGCGGGGACTGCTGCTGCGGCGGCTCAACGCCGACACCGGGACTGCAAGCTGCTCCTCGGATACCACCGGCACACTCCACTCCAGCACCTCCAGAAGGAACACCCCCAGGACCCGAAACCCCTCGAGCTCCGATACCAGCCCCAAGGCCACCGGGACTAGCACTCACTCCAACGTCAGCACCCCCAGAGGTAACGAACGGCTGCTGCGACGGGTGCGGCGGCTGCAGCGGCAACGACGGGTGCGGCGGCAGCGGCGGAGGTGACGACGGCGGTGACAGCAGAGGCGGTGGGGGAGGACGGAGGGGCAGACGGAGAGGACTGCGACGCAGGACCACCTGAGTCAGAAGACTCCTCAACCGGGACAACCGACGGGAGAGGGGTGGCGTGGGACACACCAGAGGGGGCAGAACGGGGAGGGGGAGGGGGGGGGGGCAGGGACCACCGGGGAAGGAGTGACCAGGAAAAGGGGGGGGGTAACCGGGGGACCGCGGTGGGGGAAGCGACGGTAGAAGGAGACGGACTCGTCAAAAGTGACGTCGCGAGAGTGAAAGAAGCGGTGAGACGGCGGGTGGTAGAAGTGCCAGTCGGACGCGTTAAGGGGAAAACCTAGGAAGGCGCAGGAAATGGTGCGGGCAGTGAGCTTGTCCGTGCCGGAGGCACGAACGTGAGCAAGGCAGCCCCAGACGTGGAACGCAGACTCGTCACCAGGAGACCCGGTCCAAAGTCGGGTCGGCGAAACCTGAGGCTGCTGGGGGTGCGGCCAGGGGTTAAGCTGGTGAGCGGCGTAGCGAACATCGAACGGCCACAGAAAATGGGGTGCACCGGCATGGATCATGGAGGTGCGAGCCACCTCCATGACCAAACCGATGCGTCGCTCAGCGACCCCATTCTGCTGTGGGGAGTCCGGCAAGGTGAACGTCTAGGTGATGCCCTCCGCACGACAGAAGCGACCAAGGACACCTGAGGCAAACTCGCCACCACGGTCGGAGTGAAGACGCAAGACAGGGAGACCTCGGTGGACACGGGTAGAGACAAGCCAGGGGATGAGAGCGTCAGGCACGTCGGCCTTTCGCTCCAGGGGAAAGTCTGGTGTAGCGAGTGAAGTCGTCGACAAGCACGAGGAAGTAGCGCTCTCGACGCGGTCCATGGACGGGGGCGGGGCCCCAGACGTCCATGTGCAGGGTCTGCAGCGGCGCGGGGGTAGTGGGAAACGAGGAGGAGTGAGGGGCACGGCGAAACCGACCCTTGACGCAAGGCGTGCAAGGTGGGGCGGGGGAGGAGGGAAAAGCGGGGAACGAACCAAGGAGGCCAAGGACGAGACCGTGCCGGGACATCAATAATGATACCATCTCAGAACTCAATAATGAGAGAGTAGTGAGAGAGTACAAGAGAATATACCTAAGTGTTGTACCCTCTAAGAGGTGACCCTATACAGTCTATACAAACATTAGAGATACACATGTTTGACAGTAATTTCATGGCTAAGCTGTCCCCGCCCGCATGTATATGGGGAAGCAAACTTTCCTGCGCACCTCACTAGAACTCCTCTCCTTGCCTCCCTCCCCACCATCGCCCTCTCCAGCCAACCAAGCTCCCTCCAGCTCAGCGCATGCCTCGGCTGTCAACAGGTCAACCCCCTTCGCCTTGGCTGTGGCCACAGCGGACCAGGAGGAGAGGAAGCCCAGCACATCATTCACTGTCCACTCCACGAAGGACTCAAACCTCAACGGCCCCGTGCCCTGCCCTTGGAGCTCTGCCCCGGGAATATCATGCACGGTTGGGATGTACACGGGGGGGGAAGGACACACTTAACTCGGGTGCAACGGCGAGACACACAGCCGCACAGGATCCGTGACTGGACGATGGTGCGGTGGAAGGTAAGCAAAGAGGGGAGGTTGTGAGCGCGCTACCTGCCGCACCAGCACACTCACGAGTCACGAGCACACCTTTCAGCGCAATTGCGAGTCACCGTGCACACAGCAAGCGCCTGCAGGAGGACCCAAGCCAGCAGCAATGAGCGTGTTCAGGCACACGTACGGGGCAAGGGGTGGAAGGGGAAGGGGATGTCCCGGTAGCAGCGGTCGATGTAGCGCCTACGCGGCTCCCAGAAGGGGTCCGAGCGCTTGTAAAAGCGGTCCAATGCAACGTCCACCACCGGGTTCACTCTGTCAGAGGAGGAAGGGCAGCAGGAGGAGGGGCGGAGAGGAAGGGCGATGGAGGGAGCGGGGAAAAGGAATAAGGAACCGACGAAGTAAACTGTCGGAATAATGGTTATTATCAGCCATGCAATGAGACGGACTACCCCAGAGTGCATGGAGGTGCACAAGTTGGCACAAGTCGGCACCACACGAGCATACCGGGGCAGGGTGTAGCACCAGGCAGCCACCACCCCTGTGCGTGGCTTGAGCACAGCGTGCACATTGGCTGCAAAGCGGTCAAAGTCGAACCAGTGCATGGCCTGCGCCACCGTCACCAGATCCACTGACGCTGCCTCAGGAACGGGCGGGGAGGAAGGGAGGGGAGGATCGGGGAGGGGAGAAAGGATGCTATCAAACCAGTGCATGGCCTGCACTGCCGTCACCAGATCCACCAACGCTGCCGCAGGGAAGGCGCGTGAGGGGAGCATGCAGACGAGCAACTTGGGGGGGAGAGGGTGGGTGGGGGGGAATCAGCGGAAGATCCAGTGGAGGGCAGGACAGGGAAAGACGCACAGCGGTGAGAGCAGGAGGGGGCCCAGATATTGTGAGCATATTTCCAATCCGCTGGCCCCAGTTATTGTGCTGCTGCCAGCATCATCACTTGAATCGGCGCGCTACGTCCTCCCAGCCCTCCTCCAACCCCCCCCTTTCCCCGTTCCCCTTCCTCTCTTCCCATCACCGCCCCATGCTTTGGAGGCGCGCGCCCGTCGCCTCAGCGCGAGCACTCACCGGGCGGCCCCACGGTGTGGCGCACGTGGGCGTCGTCCATGGCGGGCGGCGTGGCGGCGTAGCGCACGTTGGGCAGCGCGGGCGCGTGGCTCAGCTGCGCCGCGCTGATGTCCGTCGCGACCACGCGCGCGAACACCCGCGCCAGCTAAGGGGAGGGGAGACGGAGAGAGGTGGGGGGGAGAGGGGGGAGGAGGAGGGGAGAGGGAGGCAGACGGAAGCGAGGAAGGGGGGTGGGGAATGTAAGACGGGAGGCAGAGGGGGGGGGGAGAACAGAGGTGCCCCGTGAGCGCACATGGTCGTCACAGAATGTCTACTAATCATCACAGCTTCGTAGGAGCCTACTAGTACATGGAGTAGGCTTTACTTTGACGCACTACCTCAGCGGCGGATTGCCCGTTGCCCGTGCCCACGTCCCACGCCACCTCCCGCACGGGGCAGAGCTCCGCCAGGAAAGCGAACAGCGCGGGCGGGTAGCGCGGGCGGTGCCGCGCGTACTCCGCTGCCTGGCGGGAGAAGAGGTCCGGGTTCAGTGGGGGCATGGCGGCGCGCGCCGCTGCGCGGGGGATGGTGCAGCGGACCCCGAGGCGGAATCAGCGGGAGGCGCGGCGCCTCGAAGGGCGAAACAGAAGGAGGCGCGGCGGATTTTCAAATTATGATTGGATTATTGGATTATTGGATTATTGGATTATTGGATTTCCAAGTGGGAGCGCGTGGGTGACTCGTGATTCTCCGAGGGGCGCAAATGAGCCCGAGGGGGCCCGGTCGCGATCCTAAGCAGCACGCTCTTTGAGCCCTGTCGCACAGCGCGCGCGCAGACGCATGCGATGGTGCGTGAGTACTACCGCACGCGACGCCGCGAGTGCTGGCTGGCAGCCTGGCGGGAGTGCGCCGTTAAGCTGCACGCGCGAGCGAGTGATGGACAACGAGCGGTCGGGCAATGGTGCTATCCTTGTGGCTTTAGTGGCTGGACGTGTTGAACCCTTTTGGCCGACACGGTAAATCCTCAGCTTCGGCTGAGCAACCTCGAAGCCAATCTTCGGCGCCGCCCGCCTTCCCTTCGGGTTTTACGCTTTGTTGCGTGCAGTGCTGAGTGAGCTCATGCCCTCGAGCGGCGGGGGGGCATCGGCTGGCGTCAGCGTGAACGTAAGCAAGCACCACGAGCTGGGGAGCAGCGAAGCAGTTGCGCTGCGACGGAATTTTCTACCTTCTAATAGTGATTCCAACAGTCTATTAGACCTCACGTTGCATGTGCAACTAATTTATTTATAAAATACGTAAAATGAGCTGACACGCACTCCTCCTAGCACTTGGAAGGAGCTTGTAAGCAGGTCATCAAAAGAAACACCCCAGATCGGAAAAACTACCGCATTTCCCCACTATTTGCCAGCTGCTATTCTAAATTCTGCTGCTGCCGATGGTGCGGGTGCTGATGCTGCTGGTCTGTTCCCTCCATCACTTCCCTACGATGGTGCCACTTTGTTCCTCCCCCCCTCGCTGCTTGCACTCCTGCCTCTCTTCTCAACCACCTCCCCTGATTCTGCCACGCCCAGCCGCTGCTGCTGAACCTTCTTCAGCTGCTGTGGCTGTCGCTGCGGGTGCGGCAGTGGGAGGGAGTGCGAGGGCAGCAGCAGGCGGCGCAGGAGCTCATAGGAGGCAAAGAAGATGGCGCCCTGGGAGATGTAGATCAGCAGCCGGGGGGCCACGCCACTGCATGGGAGGAGGGGGAAGGGGGCGTTGGGAAGAGGCATGGGGATGAGTGAAGGAAAAAGAGGGAGATGGGTAAACATACCAAAGAAGGCACCCTGGGAGATGTGGACGAGCAGAGGGAGAAGGGGGGGGCAAGCCGCTTAGGGCCCAGTGGTAGACAAGGGGATGATGGGGAGAAACAGGAGGGTGGAAGAGACATGGGGTCAGTGCGACTGGAAGGGGGTTTAAGACGGCACTCTGGGAGATGTAGACAGGCATGGGGGGTGACTGTCAGCGCGGTGGATGAAAAGGGGGGTTGGGGAGAGGCAGGGGGATGAGGGACGGAACGGAGGATGGGGTGAGCTGATCCTGCTGGCGGAGAGAATGCCCTGGGCCCTGGGGGATGCACATGAGCAGACGAGGGGCCACTCTGCGGGAAATACAAGGCGGTTGGGTGGGGAGAAGGAAAGGCGGATGCAGTGGGGGAGATGAGGGCGGTTCTGGGTGAGGCAGGATGGAGGGGCTGTGGGGAGAGCAGCAGCTGACCACGACAGGCCAGTGGCTGGTGGCTCTCTTGCAGTGAGGGCCTCCACCGCGCCAACCACTCACACGTGCCACACCCACTCCCATCCCTCTCTCACCCACCACGGGCCCCCTATAATCCCTTTCCCCTCCCCCTCTCCCCGCCCCTGTCTCCCTGCCCCATCCCCCCTCCCCCCCCACCACCCTCCTGCCTCCTACGTCCCTAATACAGAACCACGCACATTCTTCATTCCCGCCTGCCTCCCAACCCAACCCCCTTCTCACCGGTAGAGAGCGCCAACCCCCTCCTCCCTGACAATGCGAGCAAAGGCGTCCACCACCCCCTTGTACTTGGGCGCTCCTGGTAGCTGGTGGGGGAGAGACACGTGCACATGCACATGCACACATGCCCACATGCACGCATATATGCACATGCAGTCATTTGCAGGCAAAAACACACAGGAAAGGGGTGAGAAGTTGAGAGGGCTGAACACAGAGCAGGTTGCACTTGAAGAGAATGTAAGTGGAAGACAAGTCTGAGAAAGAGTGCTGGAATGGTGAATTATTGGTTGGTCCTATGCTTGGTACTAAGAGAAAGTTAGACAAGGGCCCACGTGTGACTTGCAAGAGCGCTGCTGTGTGTACAGTGCACGCGCTCATGATCAGCGGGCAACACCACCCCCTGTGCTGGGCGCTGTGCCCGGTGCGTGCGGCTCTCTAGCCTCACCTGGGTCTGCAGGCGTGTCTTCACCACGTCAAACGGCGTCGTGCAGAACGCCGCTGTGGACCCCGCCGCTCCTCCCACCAGCAGCTGATGGCCGGGAGGGGGGAGAGCGGGTGGGGAAGGGGGGGGGGCGGAGAGAGAGGGGGAGAGAGGGTGAGGGGGAGGGGAAGTTGGGGGGTTGGGGGTTCGTGTGGAAGTGAGGGAACGACGAGTGTAGAGAGGGGGAGGGAAGTGGAGCGGGACGGACGGGTAAGGGACGCTGCAAGGAAGAGAACTCAAAAGACGAAGAAAAGTGAGAAGGGGGGCAGGAAGGACTAATGCGAAGGAGAGAACTCATGTAAGTCAATTTGAGTACATATGAATCCTAAAAATTCCTTGTGAATCCATGTGGATGCACATGCATCCACATGCGGTGCCCATATGCATGCACATGGATCCACATGTGTCCACGTGCATCCACAAGCATCCATACGTAACCATAGGAGTAACATCAACCCATACAAGTCCCGTGTACAAAACAGCAACACACAGCCTCGCTGCAGACCCTGGGATGGCCTTCAGAGCTTCTCAGAATCAACCCCCCCTGCACGCCCACCCGAGGCCAGGCCCGCACCAAGCACCCTTCTTCCCCCCTCTCCCCCCCCCTTCCCCTGCTCCTCCCCCCCCTTCCAGCGCGCACCTGGTTGGCCGGCGTGAGCAGCGTGGCATGAGTGCCCTCCCTGCCACCCGCTGCCCTGCTCTGGGCCTCCAGTGCTCGCTTCTTCAATGCCTCATACGTCAGGAACTGCCGGGGGGCGCAGAGCAGGGGGAAAGGCGGTGGAAGGGAGGAGGAATCGTGGTTTGCGGCGCCTCGAAACACCGTGGACTGCGCGTCCACTTGTAGGCATGGCTTGAGCACTAAAAAAACGCCACGCTCTTTGTCTTCCGTCCGAGACAGGTGGGGGAGACGCAGGGAGGAGGGAGACGTGGGGAGCAACAGCAGAGGCGAGGGAGGATTGGGAGAGAGCAAGTGGAAAGCGGAAGGCAATTGCCATATAGCTTTTGCTTGACCACGTGACACCTACCCTAGTCAACTATCCTCGCCCCTTAGTCCCGCCTGGTGTCATTCTTTCTACAATCACCCTTTGAACCGTCATTCATTCTCCCATCCCCCTGTCAACCACCCCCTGTCAACCACCCCCTGTCAACCACCCCCTGTCAACCACCCCCCCCCCCACCTTGATAACGGAGTTGGGTATGTTGCGGGCCAGCACGGCCGCCAGCCCGCCGTACAGCGACACCACGCCCTCCGTGCGCACCATGCCCACCAACGCATGCCTGCCCACACGTGCATGCGGGGCATGGGGTGCATGGGGTGGTGGTGGGGGTGGTGGTGGTTGGTTTTGTGGGGAGAGTGGGGGAGGGAGGGGAGGGGAAAAATGGGGGAGGGGAGGGGGGGAAGAGGAGGGGGAGGGGGACAGTGAGCATGCGTGGCTGCATGGGGCGGCAGGGAGGGGGATAGGAACAAGGCGAGAGACGGCAATGTGGAGAAGGACGAGACGAAGAGAGACACCTGCCGCCGCAGTGGCGGCTCAACTTGGCACGGCACAGCACAGCACGGTACACCGTACAGCACCAAACAGCACATCACAGGTTAGCAGAACGGTGCTCCATGGTGTTTTTTCCAGATTGACTCAATAAACAGAGAGGAGGGGGAATGTGTGGTGGGCTGCATGCGCTGTGTGACGAGAAGACCACTGATAATAGAATAGAGTGATGGGAGGAGAGAGGCGAGAGCAACTGACAGGGGCGAGAGGCGAGAGGCAAGAGGCGAGAGGCGAGAGGCGAGAGGCGAGAGGCGAGAGGCGAGAGGCGAGAGGCGAGAGCAACTGACAGGGAGGAGCGGAACTGTGTGGTGGTCTGCATGCGCTGCTTCACGGCCTCGCTGGGCGTGAACACCACCGACGTCGCCACACTCGCCGCCGCACCCGCCACACAGTGCGCCACTGCCGCCAGGCGCTGGGGGGGGCGGAGAGACGGATGCGGGGAGGGGGATGGGGAGAGGGGGGGGATGGGGAGAGGGGGGGAGAGGTGAGGAGGGCAGGAGCTGGTGGAGGCAACGGCAGCATAGGATCAGGTTGGAGAAAGTCCAACAAGAATACAAGTGAGCATGAGAGAGTGGCTGTTACGTTAAATGCGAGGTACAGCAGCATCCTGGTGCCAAGCCATTCCCCATCTCCCCCTCACCATCACCCACAACCCCCAAGCGCCCTCCCCTCTCCCCCTCTCCCCCCCCCCTCTGACCGGGGGCACGTGCGGCAGCAGCGCCTCCTTGACGGCCTCGTACGTGCACGCGTAGATGGCGCTGATGGGCGCCGCCGTCGCTAGGCTCGCCGCCACGCCCGAATACAGCCCCAGCGGGCCTGGAGGGGGGTGGGGGAGAGGAGGGGAGGGTGGGGGGAGGGTGGTGGGGGTGGGGGTTGAGTCATGGGGGGTGATTGGGTGAAAAGTTGGGGGTGTGGGGGGATGGGAGGTTTTCTAGTTGAGTCAACAGCACGCCAGAGTACAGCCCCCAGGGGCCTGGAGGCGTAGGGATGGGGGAATGGGGCACGGGGGATATTTGGGCATAACGGGGGGATGAAAGGGGGTTGGAGGGGAGTGATGTGTCGCGGTGACACATGAAAGGGGAGAGGGAAGCAGTGAGGGGGAGAGAGAGGGGGGCCGGGGGGGGCGGTTGGGGGGGAGCAGGGAGTGACAGAGTCAAAGAGTGTGCGTGAGAGGAGGCGCAGGGAGGGGTGGGGGAGTGGGGGGGAGTGGGGGGGAGTATGGGGGAGTAGGGGGGAAGAGGGGTGTGCAAGGAGGGGGAGTGGCGGGTAGACGAAGCAGCAGCAAGGCAGCACCTCTCACGCCAACACACCACTCCACACCAGGCCCTTTACCCCAACGCCCCTTCACACCTCCTTCCCCCACCTCGCTCCCCTTCTCCCTTCCCCCATTCCCCCCCGCTCCCTCTACCCCCATCTCCCCCATCACCCCACCTCCTCATCTCCCCTCGCACCCTCTCCCCCTCCCCCCTGCCCCCATCGCCCCAGCCCCCCCGTACCTTTCTCCTTCACCACGCGTCCCACAGCGGCCATGACGCCCTTGGGCTGGCCGCGGTGCGCCTGCAGCACGGTCTTCACGGTGTCCATGGGGTGGATGCACACGCTCACCATGCCGCCCGCCAGGCCCCCCGCCAGCGCGTTCCGCGACACGCTCGTGCGCCGCCGCTCGCCCCCCCGCTTCTGCTCGCCCCGCAACGCCCCGCCAGCCACAGCAGCGCCACTGCCAGATGCAGCGGAACCAACAACAACGCCACCAGCAGCCGCAGCAGCAGCAGCAGCAGCAGCAGCAGCAGGGGCGGCAGCAGCAAGACCTGTGGCAGTCGCGCCAGTCTTCTCTTGCACCTCCTTACCCTCCTCGCCCTTCCCCCCTTCCTCTCGATCGTTGATTTCACTTAAGCCCCGAACCCCGCCTCCGCCTTCGACCCCAACCTGCGCGGACCCCTTCCGCCATCCCCACGGCAGCAGCTTCCGCCAGTGCGCGCCGTTCCGCGCAAGGGCTTCCGCCGCCCGCTTCGCCGCGCCCTCCCCTGCCCCTTTGGCAGCAAGAGCCGAGGAGGAGAGCGAGGCGAACACAGGGGGCAACGGGGGAGGGGCGGGGGAATGGAACGAGGCACGGCAGGGAGTGCTCTCTGCGACCGAGAAGTGGCCTTCCGAGCCTGCTGCCACGACCAGAACCTCACGCCGGTGTGGCACGGGGGCGTGTCCTGGAACGGCGACAGCAAGGGCTGTGTGCTGGGCGTGCTGGGAGCGCTGGCGTGTGATGTCCGTGCGTCGCTTGCTGTTGCTCGCATCCGCCCTCGCCCCCCCGACACCACCATCGCTGGAGCAACCACTGCTACCTCCTCCTCTGCTGCTGTTACCACCCGTGGGGTTACCAGCTGCGCTGCTGCTGCCACCCGCCTCGCCAGTGCGCTGGTCTCTGCCTTGCAGCGGCCAGCCCTCCAACCCCTCCGCCCCCGCCGTCTCCCCCAAGCGGCCTCCCGTTGCCGCCCCGGCCGCGGCGGCGCTCCGCTCCCCGCGCCCGCCGCGCGCTTCCCCCGCCGCGTGGCGCAAGGCGCGGTGCTGCGGAGCGCTTGGCGGGGGGAGGCTCTTGGCGCAAGGGCGGGCGGGGACGGCGGAAGGCGGGGAAGCGTCGAGCAGCAGCACGGGGAGATGCTCCCCCCACGCCGCTGTGAGCAGCTCAAACTCATACCCCGCCTCCCACGCGCGATTCGCGGCGCCAGATGCGGGGCCGGATGCGGAGAGGTGGTTGCTCAGCGGCCGATCCGCTCGTAGCGCATCCGACGGCGGCAAACTCGCGCGCACTGACTCCGATCTGCCCGACGACGGATCCTGGCCGTCGAAACTACCCGCAAGAATCTCGGTAATGCCAGAAGGGCCCGCGCAACCACCCGCGATCTCCGCCGCGCTTCCCACTGGCCCTTCTATACGCCGCGCCGCGCCAGGGAGCACCCCCACCCACTCGCACGCCCGCCTAATCCGCCCCTCAAGATCCGATCCGCCTCCGAGTCGCGCTGATTGTTGCAGCAAACCACCTCCCGCGCCTTCCCCCGTTACCACCTGCCCCAGTCCCCCCTCCTTCCGGACCTTTACCGCTCCCCCGCCCCCGCGCTTTTCCCCTTTTCCCCCGACGTCGCCGCCTTTGCCGGCCAACGGCCACCTGCGCGCGTCCCGCTCATCCCCCCCGATCCACCGCCCCCCCCGCCCCATGACCTCCCCCTCGTCGCCGCTCCGCGCATCCCAGTCGCGTGCCGGGGTCGCCCACCCGCGAACTGCGGCGTCGGTCACGGCGTCGTCGTCGGTGCCTGAGACGAGATCCTCCGCCCATGGTCGCTGCGTGCGCGACGGCCGCGATCTCACGCTGGCTCCGACGCGATCTGCGCCGTTGGATGCGGCTGACGGCTTGACGTCGCTGGGCCACCACATGACGTAGCGTCGACACGTGCGACGGCAAATGCAACGACAAGTGCGACGGCTGTCGCTGGGCGGGACGCTGAGTCTGCTTCGCTTGCACGCCGATCCAAATGTGGCGAAGCGAATCTGTTCGTTTCACAATCTACAGTGGCAGATCGCCCCAGGTTTGAGACCAGGATTGATTGAGTCCAAATCGATTGCGACCAAACCCTCGTTGACCTCACGTTGCATTTGGAATTGCCAGATAGGCTGCACAGCGCACTACTAGGTTCGCACACCTTTGACCAGGTCTACCCGTCGGCTTCGTCTAGCGACTACACGGGCTACTTCAGGCCATTCGGCGACTACAGGCGCTTTTCCACCTCCCAACCAGACGCAATTGCTCTCCTACGCTTGGCTCGCGTCGCGAGACGAGATGGCTGCAGAAAGCGCGAAGGAGGTTGATGGGTTTGAGCCTGGAGCTGGAATCTCGAGGCTCCAGAACCGCCAGAACCGCCAAAACCTCGCCTGTGGTCGCCGCTAGCCAGCCAACAGAAGAACGTTTCAAAGCAGATGGATGGGTGCCAGGTGTGACTGAAGAGAGGGCTCCACGGCAATTCAGCGGGTTGAGCGCGCACACCGCGTTTGTCATAAGCGCCATTTGTCACATGGCAAGGCGCGCTTTGTTGAAACGCAGTTTGTACTAGCGAGTATGAGTTGTGTTAGTGTTACACTTTTTAGTCATGTAAGGAATTTTCCATTCCTTAGCGAGCGGTGTTGCTATCGCGTACGCTCGAACACACCCCAAGCCTGGGGACAGTTCCGTACCTTTATGACGGAATCGCCTCGGCTTCTCCAGACTTTCTAGATCGACCTTCAGGAGTTCACCGGGCCTCGCTTCGTCACTTCGATACCCTTCGATCACTTTCTCGAACCTTTACATCTCATGGTTAAACTAGCTCTGGAGTTCCTATTGTCAAACATGTGTATTTGTTATGTTTGCATAGACTGTATAGGGTTATCTCTTAGAGGGTACAACACTTAGGTATATCTATCTGTACTCTCACTCTACCTACTATTCACGTCTCTCAGTCTGATATGGTATCCCGCGTAGGTTAGGATCCCCCCATCTACCGCTTCTGCTCGTCCCCTAGCTAGGCCCCGCCGTGCCTCCCCCCCTAGCCCCGTCGCGACCCACTGGGCCCCGTCGTGCCCATAGCCCTGCCGCGCCCCTCCTGGGCCCCGTTGCGACCCCCTAGTCCCATCGCGACCCCCTGGGCCCCGTCGCGACCCCCTAGCCCCGTCGCGACCTCCTAGCCCCGTTGCGACCCTCCCGGGCCTTGCTGCGCCCCTCGCCCTGTAGTGCCCCTCCAGGGCCCCGTAGCGCCCCTCCTGGGCCTCGTCGCGACCCTCCTGGGCCCCTCCTTGGCCCCGTAGTGCCCCTCTTGGACCCCGTCGCGCCCGTCCTGGGCCCCTCCTGGGCCCCGTAGTGCCCCTTCTGGGCCCCGTAGCGCCCCTCCTAGGCCCCGTCGCGCCCCTCCTGGGCCCCGTAGTGCCCCTCCTGGGCCCCGTAACGCACCTCCTGGGCCCCGTAGCGCCCCTCCTAGGCCCCGTCAAGCCTTCAGGCCCCGTCGCGCCCTGCCCGGCCCCGTCGCCCCCTGCCCGGCCCCGTCGCACCTGCCCGGCCCCGTCGCACCCGCCCGGCCCCGTCGGACCCTGCCCGGCCCCGTCGCAGCCGCCCGGCCCCGTCGCACCCGTCCGGCCCCGTTGCGCCCCTCCTGGGCCCCGTAGTGCCCCTCCTGGGCCACCGTCACGCCTGCAGGCCCCGTCGCACCCACCCGGCCCCGTCGCACCGGCCCGGCCCTGTCGCACCCGCCCGGCCCCATCGCACCCGCCCGGCCCCGTCGCGCCCGCCCGGCCACGTCGCACTCGCCCGGCCCTGTCGCACCTGCCCGGCCCCGTCGCGCCCGCCCGACCCCGTCGCACCCGCCCGGCCCCGTCGCGCCCGCCCGGCCTTGTCGCACCCGCCCGGCCCCGTTGCACCGGCCCGGCCCCGTCGCACCCGCCCGGCCTCGTTGCGCCCTGCCCGGCCCCGCCGCGTCTGCCGGGCCCCGCTGCACCGGCCCGGCCCCTGCGCTCATCCCTGCCCCGGCCCCTTCATCCTCCCTGGTACGGTTCCCCCCCCCCCCCCCTCCCCCCTCCCTGCACCGCCTTGCTCCGCACTGCACTGCCCTGCACCCCACTGCACCGCCCTGCACCGCCCCGCATCGCACTGCACTGCCCTGCACCGCACTGCACCGCCCTCCACTGCTCTGCTTTGCACTGCACTTCACTGCACCGTACTGTCCCGTCCTGCACTGCCCCTGATGGCGGCGGAGCTTCGCTTCGACGCTGAAGGCCAGCCTCTGGAGTTCGAGGCGTGGCTTGCCGACCTCCGGCGCCAACTCACTGGCCAGCGGCAGGATGGTGAACCGCTTTCAGCACACCTTGACGGTACGCTCCCCTGCCCAGACCCCCCTGCTATTCTGCCCGCTGACTCCACACCCACTGAGCGCGAGTCTACTGCTGCCACTGCCCGTGCGCTCTGTCTGGCTTTCTCGCGATGCTGTCGCCCAGCTTGCCATTAGCAACGCCCTTCCCCCGTCCGAGCGCCCTCGCTTTAGGTCCCTCACTACTGCTCAGGCATACTTAGATGCTATCATCAAGCACTACTCCACCCCTCCGGCTGCCTCGGTGGGTCGCCTGATCCTCCCGATGCTCTTTCCTGACCTTGCATTTTTCCCCACTGTCTCTGACCTCGCTGCCCACCTGCGCTCGATAGATGAGACCTGACGCACAGCTTAGAGCCCACCAGCCGCCCATTACCTCTACCCTTTACCTGCTTGCCACCCGCCTCCCTGACCGCCTTGCTGTCGCCCGCGACCGCTTCCTTAGCATTCACCCCGCAGACCTCACCCTGACTGACTTTGTAGACACCCTGTCTGTGATTGAGACCCGCCACTGATCCATCGCCCAGGCGAGTGGTACCGTGCCGGTCCCTATATTTCAGGGTTGTGCCCCCGCTCAGTGTACCTTCTCTGACGGCTCTGCCGCTGTGGCTGAGACTGCTGCTGCAGCGCAGTTTCGTTCGGGGAAGGGCCGCCGCCCCAAGTTTGGGCGCGGCGGAGGAGGCGGGGGTGCGGGAGGGGGTGGTGGTGGAGTCGGGTCGTCTGGTGCTGGAGCGGATGAGGGGATCCTGCCCAGTCCAGCTGAGCCGCCGCCTCTGCCGTCGCAGCAGCAGTAGCAGCCGCAGCAGCCGCCGCAGTCGCAGCAGCCGCAGCCTTCGCAGCAGCCGCAGCAGCCGCCGCAGACGAGGCAGACGAGTGTACTCCCGCCCGGGTGGCCCGGCGCTGGCGGTGGTCAAGCGCGTGGTGGTGTGCCGAGTGGTGGTTCTGGAGGCGTGCGTTGTCAGTACCAGATCCAGACCGGTCCTCGCCACGGCTTCGTTTGCGGTAAGATCGGTCACTCCACTCCCCGCTGTTTTTGTCGCCTGGACGAACTGTTTCGTCAGCGCTTCGGCCCGTCGCCAGACCTCCCGGACTGGCACAGTTTGCTTAGTCGTAAGATTCAGATTTTTAACTTGGACATGGATGCCATTGTTTCTGCTTTGCATGTGATGTATGCTGATGACTCTAGTGTGCTTCCCGCTTATTACTCACTGTCGGCTAGTGTAGGTGTGCCTAGCTTAGCCTCCCCTGCTGCGTCAGGCGTAGGATCCCCTGCTTTGTGTAGTCTTGGTGCTTCCGCCGTTGTTCCGTCGCCAGACGCCTCTGCTTCGCTTTCCTTCACCTTGGACTCTGGCGCTTCCCGGTGTTTCTTCCGCGACTCCAACACCCTGACGCCGCTTCCTGTTCCTGCTGTCGTTTCTCATGCTAACCCCTCCGGCGGTCCGGTAGTCGCCCGCAGTTCCACCACCCTTCCCTGTCCGGCGGTTCCTTCAGGCACTCTCACAGGTCTGCATATCCCCTCGTTCTCCAGGAACCTAGTTGGTGTCGGCTGCCTCCAGGACCTTGGCGTCACCACTACGTTCCCTGGTCACGAGCGGTATGCTGTGTGTACCGAGGCCGCCACTGGTGCCCCCCTGTCCACATTCCCCCGAGACCCGGTGTCCGGCCTGTTCACTCTAGACACCGTGACCCCCCCGGCTGGAGCGCTCCCTCAGGTGGTTGCGTCTACCCAGGTTGCTGCTGCCTGCTCCTGTCGGTCCCTCACTCACCCGACTCTCCTTTGGCACCACCGCCTAGGTCACCCTGCGCTCCCGCGTCTGCGTCACATGTCCCAGCACAATCTTGTCCTTGGTCTCCCAGGTTCTCTCCCCGCGTTTCCCTCCTCCCCAGCCCCACCTTGCACGCCTTGCGTCGAGGGTCGGCTTCGCCGTGCCCCTCACTCCTCCTCTTTTCCCCCTACCGCCGCGCCGCTGCAGACCCTGCACTTGGACGTCTGGGGCCCCGCCCCCGTCCCTGGGCCGCGTCGCGAGCGCTACTTCCTTGTGCTTGTCGACGACTTTACTCGTTACACCACAGTCTTTCCCCTGGAGCGCAAGGTCGACGTGCCTGGCGCCCTCATCCCATGGCTTGTCTCTGCGCGTGTCCACTGCGGTCTCTCTGTCTTGCGTCTTCACTCCGACCGTGGTGGCGAGTTTGCCTCAGGTGTCCTTGGTCGCTTTTGTCGTACGGAGGGCATCATCCAGACGTTCACCCTACCGGACTCCCCACAGCAGAATGGGGTCGCTGAGCGACGCATCGGTTTGGTCATGGAGGTGGCTCGCACCTCCATGATCCATGCCGGTGCACCCCATTTTCTGTGGCCGTTTGCCGTGCGCTACGCTTCTCACCAGCTTAACTTGTGGCCGCACCCTCAGCAGCCGCAGGTTTCGCCGACCCGTCTTTGGACTGGGTCTCCTGGTGACGCGTCTGCGTTTCACGTCTGGGGCTGACTTGCTCACGTCCGTGCCTCCGGCACGGACAAGCTCACTGCCCGCACCCTTCCCTGCGTCTTCCTCGGTTTTCCCCCCCCGTCTCTTACTACCGTCGCTTACTACCGTCGCTTACTACCGTCGCTTACTACCGTCGCTTCCCCCACCGCAGTCCCCCGGTTACCCCCCCCCTGTTCCTGGTCACTCCTTCCCAGGTAGTCCCTGCCCCTCCCCCTCCTCCTCCCCGTCCTGCCCCCTCTGGTGTGTCCCACATTACCCCCCTTCCGTCGGTGGACCCGGTTGCGGAGTCTTCTGACTCTGGTGGCCCTGCTGCGCAGTCCTCGCCGGCCGCCCCTCCACCGGCGTCCCCTCCCCAGTCCCCTCCTCCACCGCCCCTGCCGCCGCTGCACCCGTCGGTGTCGCTGCCGCCGCCGCCGCCGCCGTCGCAACACCCGTTCGCTGACTCTGGGGGTGCTAGTACCGGTAGCCTTGGGGGTGGTTTCTCTGGGTGTG